GAGAATTCAAACAAAAGCTCACAGGGAGTCCCATATTGAGACTGTTTTGATTATTCCAGTGATTAACCCATTTCCTCTCTCTTTAGTAATTTCATTTAGAAAAGTAGTCATTTTAAGAACAAGTAGATTTTCTTTATTGCTTTTCTGGTTTGCTGTGAAATTGGCAAGTGGCCAACCATCTGTGAAACTGCAGTTATTACTATTACTTAAAATTTATCAAACCTCTGCAGGTACTGTGGAAATAATTCTCCTTGCCTACCAAGACAAGGCCAAGAAAGGCATGAACAAGACTCAACGTTGCACAAAGATATCACCCTATGCTTTAACCTTTTAGCCCTGAGTCCCAAAAATGGGATTTGTGGACATTGTTAGGGAAAATATTGGGTGCAGAATTGCAGAATGGTTTGGATCCACAGCTACAGGGCTCTGCTCTTCAGCACCTAGGAATCTACTTCTTCCTCCCATGAGGAATATGCATTCATTCATGAATGCTTTTATTTGTCATTCAGCATTTCTTGAGATGCCTGGGTGTGTTGGCTTGTAATGTAATTTAGTTTGGAATAATTCCAGCAGAACTGCCTCCTTTGCCTCACGTTTTTCTCTCTTGCTCTTTTACTTTTTTACACATTTAGCAAGGAAACAGTGGTGAAGATGTTTGAGGTATTACCGTTGGAACTCCTCCACTTCTCTACCGCCTCTGGCCACAGGTGTTTCTAAGGAGGAGGCCTGGACAGTAAGATGGGACACTAGGCCAGGGCTGCCCTCTTAAAACAAGAATCCAGTAATGGCCTCACCATTGTGGGCAGATGGTTGGCTTCACTCTGACGTTTTACCTCAGACAGTGACATCTAGTGGCAGGAAGACATGGCTATCCACTGTGCTGCCAGCTTCCCATGGTGAGGGATATACCGGCTTTATCTTGTAAAGCCAGGGTCATCACACATCCAGGTTCACCCGGGACAGACTGGGTCTATATCTGTTGTCCAGGCATAATTATTAATAGTGCCTGTGTTCGCTCTTGAAAGTGTTAACAGATTGGATAAGGAATTACACAGCCTACTTAACACCCTGTGGTAGCTCTCTCATCTATTTGGTGACTGAACACATTTTTAGCCAGTACTATCACCGTGGGGTAATGAGTTCAGGAAGGTTACTCCCCATTGTGTAAAGTAATATTCATCTTTGTCTATCCTGAAATGATCTCTCAAACATTATAGGATTGTTCCCAGCTCTAACGCTGAGTCCTGGTGAACGAGCTCATTTTCATGCATTTGTAGATTTGGTCTTATCTACACCAGGCCTTTGTCTATCCAGATGGAAGCCCCTCATTTTAGTCTATTCCCGGAGACCTCCTCCCTCTGATCATTAATTTTCCTTGTTAATCAAGCTGCAGTGGTGTTTGGAGGCGACGTGTCTGGCTGTCTGAAAAGTGACGCACAATGGCCATCCTTTCAGGCCCCGATGAAAGGCCGTCTGGTAGGTGAGGGGCTTTCCAGCTGTATTATAATTTTTTTGAATTAAACATTTTAGACCACATAGAGAATAAAGGGCAGAGGCATTGCCTAGGTGGCCCATGGTGAGCTGTCTGTCTATGCTTGCAGAGAAAAAGAAAAAAACAAAAAAACAAGAAATCAAAGAATAACTAAGACGCAACGTTATAAATTCAAAAACACTATTTGAAAGTAAAAAAAGAACTTTTCTTTGTTGTTTTTTTATCCCAGGGTCAACCCAAAGGGCCAAACATTTTAAGGGTTTGCAAAAAATTCCACAGAAGAGTGGTGCATTTAAGAGGACCGATGATTTCTTCCTTTCCAAGAACAGGAATTTTAGAAGAAGAAAGTACTCGAATCGTAGAAGCAAAAAAGAGAACATTTTGTAATAGAATATCTTACTCTTGAACTTTCTATTTCCAGTTTAGAAGTTGGATTCCATTAGAAAAAGATGGTTCTAGTGCCTTCTGTGTGTGAGTTGTTTTGCTAGGCCTGAGAATAGATACACTGGATCTGATTTCAGATCCTGTTATTTCAGCCATTACAATTTGTTTTCCTATGGTCCGTCAAGACAATATAATAAGTTACAGCTCTCCTGCTGAATTTTACTTGTTTCTGTTTTTCTTTCATGCTAATAGTCACAAAAATCATTGAAGTGCTGCTTTATCTCATCTTTGCAAGAACTTCCAAGCATTTAGGAAACCCAGTTCTTTCTCTTAGGAAAATTATAATTAATTGGGGAGACAAGATTAAACATGATGTATACACGTCTTGTGTATACTCTTTGGATCCCCATAATTTAGAATTGCTGGACCTCTGGACACAGTTTGGGTTGAAGCTCAACTGTATTTCATCTTTGATCAGAGAGCTTAGTAAAAAAAAGTAAACAACACATTGAAGAAAGATTTACATTTTTCCAGGAAAAATCTTTTTTTAAACTGTCACATTTTTCAAGCAAATTATTTATAAGTACGTACTGTTCTAACTATTTATAAAAGCAGATCATGATGGATCTCAACTTAAGAACACTTTATAAAGGATCAGTGTGCCACTGTTCCTTTTTTTCTAAAAAATGAAAATTTTTCCTTTAAAAATATTTTAAGTATGTAACTCAGACACAGTCTTGTCAGCTCACTTAATTTTTGAGGTCTGATTGTGAACACAAATGTCGAGAACATGTAAATTTATACAGAATCATCTGTAAGTACTTAAGGGGTTGCCGGATGACTGCAGTTAGTGGAAGAGGGACAATGACATCAACAGTCCTGCTTTATAAAGTATTGTGCTCTGGAAAAATTTTCATCCTTTAAGTCTGGCATTGTGCCAAGGGCAGCATACACAGAAACTTCTTCTTTATGAGAAACTGTTTCTTGGAGGTAAATTTGTATTGCCCTGTATGTGTTTTAAATGTGGGCTTGAAGGGTTTTTGGCCCCAGAGTCTTCTTAAGTACCCAGGTAAATAATTAATTTTGCAAATTACAAATGTGTTCAATTTGGCTTTTTGAAGCTACAGCTCTGAGACCAACTGTGCCCTTCCTAATTTGGAAATATTTTCTTTCTGGTTTTTATTTTGACATGTACCCTGCTATCCATTTTTGTTGCTATTTCTAGCATCCCACGGGAGCTGCTTCCATGGTTGTCATAGTGCAGACAAACACTCAAGAAAAACAACAACTCAGTGCTTTCATAAAGCATTTATTTTTATTTGAAAACATTATACAGGCATTACATTGCCACAGCCAGTCCATAGGGGAGCATGCAAATATCAAAAATGGAGAGTTTGTTCAACTTATCAGTGTAAATTTCCTTTTTGGTTCATATTTTCCATTTGCAGTGTCTGGATTAGTGTGCTTTGTTATGTGGTTCGACAATAGAATCCTACCCATGGGGTAAAATCCATACTGGTAGCTAGCTGGGGACTACTAAATGGTTATAAATCAAAAACAAAGCCAAAACAAACAATACTACACGCTTGTCAAAAGGTTAATAGCACAAGTTAGCAATATCTAAACTAAACATTGAAACATTTTTATGGGACACAGTGGTGCAAATTTTTCTATTGCTTGGTCTACCTGGTTGTGTATTTCAGAGTTTGGAGCTGTGGGAAGGTGTGACCAAGGTAAGCTCTGTCCCCAGTACAAGTTGTCATTGAGGAAGTGAGAACCATCCCTTATCTCTAGCTGGGGTTTAGAAGAGCTGTGGTTTGCTTAGCCAAACAAATTCTATACAAATTGCTAAAGTCTCATTTGTGGAGGAGAGAATGTTGTTGGATTGAAAAGCTGACATTTTTGCTGGTGTCGACTGAGGTTATGAAATTGCAGAAACTAAAACAGCTAGAGTTAATGTTGTCCTACTCCCATTTCCCTCCCCCCTCCCAAAGGATCAATGCTTTTACGCAGGAAAAAGAGTTTGTTCTTTGCTCTTCTCTTTTTTTCCAAAGGGTCAAACTGAAACTCCTGATCTCAGACAATTCAATGTTATCAGCCTTTCTAAATGGAGACAAACCAATACAGTGAGGTACCCCAGTGACATGAAAGTCTGTGTACAAGGACGCTGGATGATAAAGGGTATAGAGTGAATTCACCATAACATTCACACTTGGTGTCCATACAATGGAGTCAATTAAAATATCCTATAAAATAATTCAGATGGCAACTTTTAGCCATCTGTTGATTGCAAACCTTTTTGAAATTTAAATTTAAAAAAAATTCCTAGTCCACTGAGTCAACTTGGAAATACTTTCATCCACTTATTTCTCATAAGACTTTACTAAGCGTCTACAAATTAGTGTGATAAAAGTGAATAAAAAAGACTAAAACATTTGGCTTAAAATAAATACTAAAAATGCAATAAAATCAAGCAAATTATGCAAATAAAAGGAATGTAAACACAGAAATAAAACCACAGTCTTTAAAGGTCTTCAGATCTGAATGGACAAAATATTCAGAGAAAGGTATTTAATTGGTTTAACAGGTAGCAGAGAGCAGACATTGGCAAAGTTGTCTTAACTTGATAAGCTTTAACGCTGATTCTCTTTTTCACAGAAAATAAAACATGTTTCTAACGGGGCTGAACAGAGATGACCATAAAATCTGCATATCAGCAAAGGTAATTTTTCTTCTCCATCTCCAAGGGCAGGAATACTGCCCTGGGTAGAAGGCAGGCAGAGGGGTCACATGGGTGTTGACTGACAGCATGGGGTGCTTTTGCCTGCTGTATTTAGGCCTTCTTCAGGTTATTGAAAAATGCTGACTAAGGGGCCAGTCCAGTGGCGTAGTGGTTAAGTTCACCTGCTCAGCTTCAGCGGCCCAGGGTTTGTGGGTTCGGGTCCCGCGAATGGACCTACACACTGCTCCTCAAGCCATGCTGTGGCGGTGTCCCACATACAAAATGGAGGAAGATTGGCACAGATGTTAGCTCAGTGACAATCTTCCTCAAGCAAAAAGAGGAAGATTGGCAATAGATGTTAGCTCGGGGCTGATCTTCCTCACCAGAAAAGAAAAGAAAAAAAATGTTGACTAAGCTTCAATCTACCCTTTAACTTTACAGAGACCCCATTGGTATTTTACTTTGCTGCCTTAAGATGTATTGATTTGAATTGCCCAAAGTTTCATAAACCTTTATTTTTTCCTTTACAAACCCTGTAACTCCACTGAGGATCTTTTTGAATGGTATTGAAATCAGCCAACCTTAAAGACTATTTCATATACTGATACATAGAATCTATTCCAAATCATAGAGGTCTATGGTGTTTCTTGATGTCCTGTGTTTGATAAAAAGGGCTATTTTAAGGGCAATAAAATTAGACTAGTGGCATATCCCTCAAAGCCTTATCAGGACCCTGTAATATTCTCTGCATCCATAAGAACGTTGTGTTGATATATTCTACTATTGAATGGATGCCAAATATGACCAAAATGCCAGACTTTTTCATTGCTGACTTCTTTATCACTACAAAGTGGCCAGATCAATTGAGCCACTGTCACAGACTGCTCTACATCAGCACCCTGACTTTCTCGGGAGGCCACACAACCAATGATGCTCTATAATAAAGGTAATTTCCATGCTGGTGTATTTCAAAAAGGGTGTCACACAATTAAGAGGGTAGAGGACCATGGCTTTTTCCAATGCCTTGATTAATTTCCATCTTATCACTAAAGAAATCTAGGGATAAAAGGAAAAGCAGATATATTTTTTTGAAGAGAGGATATAGGGAGGGGCAGAAAGATTTAAAAAAATATATATTACCCTAAACACAAATGTGATTATTTCTGGGGTTTTTCATAAGCCACAGAAATGGAACATTCCTTATCCTGTTATTACAGGGACTTGATTAGCAGAATCACATGGCAAAACAGAAAGGCAATGGCCTGGAGTGTTCAGAGATTGAAATATAAAAAGGCTAAAATGTTTGTTTTATATCTATTCCTAGAATAGAGAATTATATGGTCAGTTGCCCCTCCCCACAGGGGTCACAGCACAAAATACTTATTGAGCAGGCAATCCAACAAGTAACAGAGGAAACCATTAGCCACCAGGTCCCTAGGATAAGGAAGCTTCTCGGGGGTGGAGCTCCTGTGGCATGCAACACTCATACAGACTGTGCAAAAAAATAAAGTATGATTCTTAAAAAGTGACTTGCCATAGAAAAGTGGGATTTATGTTAACTACATGTGTGTCTGGCAATAGTTCCCATCAGGAGTACAAAACATCCTCCTGAAAGTCAGTGTAATAACAGTAACAAGAATAATACAAATAAGAATAACCATACTTGCTTTTGATTCAAAAATGTTCACAGTAATTAATGCAGGGGGGCTGTGATCAGAATACACACTAGCCAGGCATTGCTCCAAGTCAGGTGGATCAGAGCCTGCGTCTCCAGTGATGTTTACCTTGCACCTTTTACAGGCTTTCGGGTTTGCTACCTTGCAGTCCACCTGTGTAAACCGCACCTAATAAATACCTTTCTCTATGTACAATACAGAGATGATGGGCGAACACATGGCCACTGAGTGGTCCTCAGCGGGCAGGGAGGGCCTCATCCTAGGCCACGCGAACGTGGGGCTCCTCTTCGGTCTCCTGGCCCAGGCTGGTGTAGGTGACCGACGGCTCCACCTGAGCTGTGGTTGGTAAGTCCACAACAGGTCCTGAAGGGTTGCGGAACTGCTTGTATACGCGGGGGTCCTGGGCTATGTATGTGGAGGTGGAGGAGTAGAGCACCAGCCCGATGAGGATGGTGAAGAAAGACAGGAGATAGAGTCCTGAAAACTAAAAAACACGACAGCGAAGTCAATTAGCAGCCGGAGCAGAACCACTTACACATTAGTGAGGCCCAGAGAGACAAGAGTGGAGTCACTTCCTCTCGGAACAGACAGCTTGACCACCTGGCCAGTGCTCTCGATGGAAAGTGAATTTTCTCTTCCTAAACTGGCCTGGTCTTATTGATTCTCCTTATCTTTTTTCTCAACTCTGTGGCTAACACAGAGGAACACTTAGCTAATTGTCCCGAAAATGTTGGTCTGAGTACCTGCTATGGGAGAGCTGGTTCGGCACAAATTAAAATACATCGAATTAAAAGCAAAGCACCTCCAATACCACTCAAGAAAGAGTTGTTTTTTTTTTGGCTTCATTAAACCCAGAAGAAATATAGATATTCCATTTAAGGTTGTAATGAAGCCATAAACACCAAACATCTCCCTGACACAGCTGTATCGGAGTACTCTCATTTCACCTTAATCCAATTCAGACACTATTTGTCTTCCCTGTAGGAATTGTTACTGACTTTGGCAACTACCTTTGCAAGATCAGATTACCCTTGGATGGAAAGGAACAGTATAACATCCTATTCTCGCCCCACTTATCTAAAGACAAAGCCAAACACAGCCGTATATATAGCATTTTGCTTCCTAAACTACTTGCTTGACAATTCATAGAAATTTGTGGGCAAAAAAGAAAATATTGTTTTATACAAGTGCTCAAGAATTTACATATGTTTTTGAAAAACTGCAACTTCTTGACCTTCTTGAGTAGTTGCACAGGAAGTAGTCACTTTAGTAGTTACTGGGGGAGAGGGAAGTTAACCATATGAGTGTTGCCATTTCTGCTGTTTCATTCATTCATTCACTCCTTCATTCAATGAACAGTTTCTTCTATGCCTTCTCTATGTCAAACACAACTTTGTATGTGAAACCATATGAAAACATATGGTCCTTACTGTCTAGGACTTAGTCTCAGTGGAGAAACAGAGGTACAGATAGACAAAAACATCACAATGACTTATGGCATGCCAAATCTCACTTTAGTCAATAGTTTGTCCCAGGCTTGACCACATCCTGCATCCACAGGAAGAAAAGGATCAATTTGATTTTCCTATTTTATTTTTTATGCTCATACTCTAAAAGAAATAAAAACTGATAAAAAGACAAAAATTAATTGGAAGCTGGAAGAAATGAGAGCAGAAAAAGGATCCAGAGAATCTATAAATTAAATTGCAAGGCTATAATAAAGAGTTAAAAGATGGCTATAATAGGAAAGCCAGTTTTGAAAATGGCACAGAGAAAACATACTCCTGTGGCTAGAAGTCCCTGCTATGGTGGTGTTTCACTTTTTCTTCCTCCTCCTCTCCCTCCCCCTCCCTCTCTCCCCCCTCCTCCTCCTCCTCCTTTTTCTTTTCTCCCTTCTTCTCTCCCTCCATCTCTCTCTCTTGCATCAAGGTAGCTACGACGTAAGATCGTTTTCTGATTTTCTTTCTAGAGCACTCCTCACCGTGTCCTTCAATTCCTTTATTCTTCATATTCAAATCATATGATAATACTTTTTTTTTTTTTTTTTTTTTGTGAGGAAGATCAGCCCTGAGCTAACATCCGTGCTAATCCTCCTCTTTTTGCTGAGGAAGACCGGCTCTGAGCTAACATCTATTGCCAATCCTCCTCCTTTTTCTTTCTTCCCCAAAGCCCCAGTGGATAGTTGTATGTCATAGTTGCACATCCTTCTAGTTGCTGTATGTGGGATGCGGCCTCAGCATGGCTGGAGAAGCGGTGGGTCGGTGTGCGCCCAGGATCCGAACCCAGGCCGCCAGTAGCGGAGCACGTGCACTTAACCACTAAGCCACCGGGCCGGCCCCTATGATAATACTTTCTCACATGGATTTATACACTAGACTCAGCTTGTAACAGCTTCACTTAATTCACTTGAAATAATTCAGTTTTTCCCACTGAAAATCAATGTGCTTTATTCTTTGGTTCATGAATTTGTTTGTAAAATAAAATGGTGGGAAAAGAAGACCACTAACTCAATATTGTTGTATACTATCTCAGAAATCCTATTTACCCCTAAACTTGCTTCCTGAAATTCTACATTTAAGAGCTTCATCCTTTATCTGAAACTTTGGTGAATGAAATGGGTTTGTTCCTTATATTACCATCATTGCAAATATTTTGTTAATAACTTTCATTTTCAAAGCTCCACTAGTGCGTCCCCAGTTTGAAGTTAGAGCGTTGCAGTCTTAGGTGTGTGCCTGCCTCTGTTGCAGTGGGTGGAGGCAGACAGACGAAGAATGGGCTTTGAGGGTAGAACTGCATTCTAACCACAAACTGGATTCAAATCCTAGCTCCACCACTTTCTAGCTGCATTTTGGACAAGTTTCTTAACCTTTCCAGATCCAAGTTTCCTTATTAGTAAAGTGGGGATAATAACTGTACCTACTCTATGGGGCGGCTATAAAGATTAAATTAGATAAGGTGCGTAAAGCACTTATCTTAGTGCCTACCTTGCAGCCAGCATTCAACTCATATTAGCTTCATTTATTATTATTGTCTTGTTTTGTTGTTATTATTATTATAGTACTCTCTTATAATCAATGATTATCCATATATGAGTGTTACAATACTCTCATACAATCATTGATTGAATTGCCTTTCTCCCATAGTCCCTTGACTATGTGTCTTTCCGACCAGGGCCAAGTGCAGAGCCTGGCATACTGTAGGGATCTACTAAGTGTTATTTGCTCCTTGTTTTTATTTTGAATGAACGAATGAATTTAATTATGGAGAAGTTTCAGACTAAAGAGACAATAAAAAATCAGCCTGTACCAGTAAGTATTTCAGATTTTTTAGCTTTAAACTCGATAATCCAATGTCATTTCTCATACATAAAATGCTAAACAAAAACTCATTGAAAGGGAAGTGATAGCACTGATCCTTAATCACTGACTCCAAAAGTCATCTTCCAACCTGGGGTCAGTCAGAGCAGAGTGGTGGGACGATGAACCAGGAGGGAAAATGCAGAAGGCAGGATTCTGAGGCAGAAGGTAGAAGACTGAGGGCTGCTGATCAGAGGACTGGCAGAGGCGGTTTCATAAACTTGGAGTGGACAGGATGTGGCAATTGAAATACTAACATAGGGTAGGGACAGGAAAGGATCTGATACAGGGTATCTAGCGAGAAAGATTTCAATTCCTCTCAATTTCTGACTTTGGCTCCTGTATTCTGACTTGATTGATATGACAAATATCTTAAAAATTCCTTTTGTAAAGCTAATGCCTTTGCCATTGTGAGAAATAATACCTGAATCACTCCCTTTTTGGATGTGGAACCACCAAGTTGAATGAGAAATCCACTACAAAGTGTTTTCCCGGGGCACAGCTTTAGAATGACAACACATACTTTATTTCCAATGCATTTCAACTTAATTCATACAGAATTCACTCTAATATTGTATAAAATATAGATAGCATGGAATTTTATGTGACAGAATCACCTTGGAAGTCACCCAAGAGGTTTTATTAATAGATGGCAGAGAGAGTTTTCACTTAACACACAAGCCCAAAAAGGGAGCAGTTAAGACAAGCATTATGATTAATCTGGATAAATATTGAATGTTAGAAACAATGACAGAAAGGTCTGATGCTTTAAAAAGTAAGAAAAAGTTTCATTTTTTTTCTCCCTGTAGATTGATAGAGAAAAAAAGATAATCTAATCAGGGTGCCTAAAAGGATAGCCCTCAGTTCTGGATGCTGCATTTATCCTGATAGAGCATTCATTAAAAAAATCAATCAATCAAACAAAAATTCTTTATATTCCGATCTGCTTAACTCGTTAACTGCAAAGAAATACTCATTTCTAGTTCCCTGAGCAAAGAGAATAGGAACCACTCTGGATCACTAGAGGAGGCCTGAAGGCCATCTCTGAGTTACAGGGAAGGCAAATTTCAGGGACAGCCTTGCTGTCTCCATTTAAGAACATGGCTGCTGTCTAAAGTGTACTGTGTGGTCCTCCCCACAGCCAACCGTAGCCCTTCAGAAGATGCTGTATGTTCTGTGCTGCAGACACACTTTTGCCTGCATTTTATCTGAGTTGTAGAAGTTGAGAAGCGGTGCACCGTGTTTTAACACCACCACACTGCACACACTGTTTGCTTTGCTGCTGCCTTTTTCCATCTTGCTGGGTCTCTTTGCTAGTAAGCGTCAGAAAGCACTAATGGTACACAACACAGGAGAATGCCTGTGTGTTGCTTAGAGCAATCTGACTGGGACACAAGCCATTGTCCAGAAGGGGGTGGCTTGGAAGACTGATGACAAGGCTGTACAAAGCTCTTTAACCTCCAACTAAGGATTAAATCCAGCTCTTAGCCAGTGGGCATCTCAATATGATTCCTATTTAGTTAACGGGGCATTCAACACATCAATTGAGGACAGACCAAATTTTCATTTTAGCTTTCATATTAAACTCATCCAAGTTGAGTTTTAATAAACTAATGACTTTAATGGGCCTAACTTATACAAGTAGAAAACTACATGGTTTGAAAGCCATTTCAAAGTACATTTATAAATATACCCACTAGAATATGTGAGGAAGAGGGCAATTTCCAAGGGCAGCTTTCTTTTTCCAGCTTGACTATGAAGATGGCGGGGGTGAGCAGAAAAGAACATGGGTGATCCACAGAGAGGCGTAAGGTGGAGTATGAAGTGACTCTGGGTGAAAGCTCTGTTTTTACTGAACGCACGTACCAACCACTTCTATATGGGGGTCCTGGTTTTTCCTTCTTTCCTGGAGAGTGCAGCTTAGAAGAGGCCTTTTATGGTGAATGCCTTTGTGTAATACAGCTTTTATAAAGTTTCTGATGTTGGGCTCTGGTCATCTTTGCTCAGTGACTCCACTTGGGCCTGTTAATGATCAGAACTAATTTTGATTTAACAGATAATGAAAAGTTAAAAGATTCTTAGCTCTTAAAGGGAGATGTATGGCAGTTCTATCTCCACCAAAAACAAG